GATGGATGATGTAAATGGATGAGTTATATGAAGATTCAGCCTCTGTACAGTTGTCATAAACTATAAAGTAGCTGCTCCGTGTACCAGACTGTAGAGATGTTTATTTTTGACATAAAGTTTGAACATGCGGGTCAATGACTTACTTTTAGACTCGACCTCAAGTGACCCTTCAAGGAACTGCAGTTTTTGGCACTTTGTCTTCATTTCTCAGCAGCTGGACAGAAACCTAAAGCAGGAGGGATAAAGTCACCGTGTTGTCTCTACTCAGAGTAAAAACTGCATTTTAAACTTTGCATTATTACAACGTTACCTGTTGTTCACGTGCTTTGAGGGGAACTGAGGTTTCTTTGTCCATACATTCATTACACCATGTTGAGTGTCTATACAGCGAGTGTCCACAGGGTGGCAGGAGAGGACTAGCTATGGAGGCCACGGAGCTTCTCTGACTTTAACATCATCATGTTGTTCCACTTTGCGAGGTGTCAGATAATTGGCAAAATGTGGTGCAGCCCTGGATTATGGTGGTTCGTTCACCAGATGAGACAGCTGTTCCTTGTTATGAAAAAAAAAAAGTTTGGTAAGAGTTAGAACATGTTCTTTACTGCCTGATGTCTCTGTTTGGTGCTCCAGCTCAGGTTTGTCCAATGGGCCCAATGCAAACTTGCTGACCATTCCCAAGCAGAGGTCGTCCTCTGTTACCCTCACGTACCACGCGGGGCCCAGGAGAGCAGGTGAGACTTGACCATAAACTCCCCCAAACTCACCGTATGTTGGTTGATTGCTGTTGTTCTGACCCGGTGCTGGTCCTCTGCAGGCACATCTCCCAGCCTGAGCCCCGTCACCTCACCAAGCCACAGCCCCCCTGCAGTCAGTACAGGTTCTTCATCGTCCCTCGTCACTCGGTCCCCCGTGGAGTTCCCGGACACGGCTGACTTCCTGACAAAGCCGAGTGTCAATCTGAACCTGCACAAGCCCTTGGGCTACACGCTCAGCTCGCCAGATTTCCAGCAGGCCTTCCGTAGCTCCACCTTACCTCTCTGCACCAGGTGAGACCCGCCGACCCGTCGCTGCTCCTCACTCACTTCTGATTGTAACGTTTAAATCATGCAATTGGTCACGTATTCTCGCCTGTCCGTCCTAGCTGTGGGCGTCAGATGCTCAAGGGAGTCTCCGGCGGCGATGCAGGAGAATCCCATCAACCGTTCACCAGCGAGGCTCAGCGCCGGCGCTCAGGTACACAGGATTTATTTCACATCATGACACCGTCATGGAGGACAGTCATGACGAGCGCTGTGGCGTTGGGGTTTGGAAGCAGTTCAAGGGGTTAATGCTGCTCTCTGCTGGACTCCAGCGATAATGCAGGTTGATTCTCACCCAGACGATGACACACGCAGAAAGAATGAACTTTTTGCTCGATGTGTGGGGTTTTTTTTCGGTGTATAAACTCAAAATTAGCTGCTGTGTGTTTTCAGCTACCAGGTTGAGGTTCACTTTACAATCAGCTTGAAGCAAGTTTAAAAAAGAGCAAAAGTAAAAAAATCTTGACTAAACAAAAAGAAAAACATCTGAATTAATTCAAAAGAAAGAGCTTCTGAATTTTAGCGTTTCAGCACAGAAACAGTAAAATGATAACGGACAGTACACGTCTGTTTGTCCATCGTTGATGGTTTTACATCGAGTCGTATGTGTGTTTGCATGAAGCAGGCGAAGGACTGGACTTCCCGGGGGAACCCCTGATCAGGGAGGAGAGCGTGGAGGCGGACGTGTCCGGAGACGGGAAGCCGGACGTCGGAGGAAGCCAGGGGCTGGCGGACGAAGACAAGGAGAAGAGCACAGAGCAGCAGACTCAGGGATCAGAGGTGATCATCAGATGGATGCTGTCGACTTAAACCGAGCAGCGTCTTCAGCCCCACTTCCTGCAGTCATGTGTCACACATTTAGTTCATCATTTTTACTGCTTGCAGCGTGTGAACACGGAGATCCAGTTTGTTATTCATCAACACTTCGACAGCTCTGCTTCGGTCAAAGTTGGCACAAACCTGCAACCAGTTTATTTAATTGTATAATTAGCATCATTTTGGTTTCCCCAAATAGACGATGATTAATCTAAGCTGCCATTTGCTTCACATTCATACAGAAAAGGGCTTTTGTTGATTCCTCTGAAATGTGAAGCAGCCGATTGTTTTACAGAAGATGAGATCTGGCTGTTGTGACTGGTCTGGTTACAGAAAATACATATGTGATTATAATTGTCCTCGTATAATGTATGTTTTAATGTTATTTCAGCTGTTATATCTGTTTAAACACCAGTCTGTTTGCTTGTAGATGTAAAGAAAGTTTTAGAAATCAGCTTCAGTTCAAATGTGCTCGTCTATACAGCCTGTGCTTTTGGTCATTGTCTCCAGGGCGAGCAGGAGTTCAGGTTAGATCCGATGCTGGAGGACCACGAGGACCTCATGGAGAGGATGAACACCTGGAACTTCCAGATCTTTGACCTGGTGGACAAGACGGGAGGGAAGACCGGAAGGATCCTGAGCTATGTGAGTACAGAAATCACAAACCAGACGTTTCCCGTAGCTGTCCATATCCATCCACTCTGCATGAATCTTTCTGATTTAAAATAAATAACTTGGATCTCTAACAGAGACACAGCGATACCACACCACAAATGTAAACGTCCAGCTCTTGAGTTACAAACTGTGAACTTCCTGCATGCATATTGATATATTTAACGTTGAGCTGAATCGTTCCGTGGATCGGCTGATCATCTCCTGCTCTGATCGGTGTCTCGCTAACGCCTGCTTGTGTCTCTCCAGGTGACGTACACCCTCTTCCAGGACATGTGTCTGTTTGAAATTTTCAAGATCCCCGTGAAGGAGTTCATGACGTACTTCTGTGCTCTGGAGAACGGCTACAGAGACATTCCCTGTGAGTGTCACGCTTCACAGATTTTCACTCAGTGTGTTGCTGGAGGGTGGTTGTGTCCTTATTGGACCGTTTGACTCTGTGGCAAAGCTACGATTCAGCTTTTAGTTAACCGTAAATCAGAATTGTTGCAAGCAGACGTGGTGAAATAGATGGAATTTCAAACCCACAGATCACAACCGGGTCCATGCTACTGATGTGCTCCACGCTGTTTGGTACCTGACCACTCGACCAATCCCTGGGTTCCAGCAGATCCACAGTGAGCACGTGACGGGGAGCGACACAGGTAAACGCCGCCAGTCACAGATCGCCGCTTCGTTCAGACGTTTATTCAGCCTGCACACGGCGTCCTTCCTAATGGATGCCGGTTAGTCCCCGTGGTTTCCTCAGAGTATAAAAATCTGGCGAGCGTGGAAACGATCATCTTTAACTCGTTAGCGAGGTTTTGGTGCGCCGGTCCTAATGAACATCTTGTGGCTGACGTCACTTTATTGGATGGATGGAAACGTGTTTTGGCAAGAAATCATACCTTCGAGGAAAGAAATGCAGCCACCTACTGAGATGGAGACTAATCACGCTGGAAATAGTTAAAGTGTGCAGATAGTTTGGTTTAAAACGCAGCGAATCCTGATGTTACAGCTCTTTAGAAATGATTTGACGCTTATCCACTGACGCCTGGTGCTCAGGCTGCCAGGACAGCCGTCGTATGATGAGAGAGGAGCTGAGAAAGTATGAGTAATGTGAACAACTAGTGTGTGTGTGTGTGTGTGTGTGTGTGTGTGTGTGTGTGTGACCATATTCAGCACTCTTTCTCTGTGTGGTTTTGCCTAATTGCAGAAGAGCTCCAGCTGTAGCCTGATTTCGCAGCAGCTTGTTTCTGCGACACTCATCGCCGTCCGTCGTCTTCTCTTGTGTTCCAGATTCGGACAGTGGAATCTCTCCAGGCAGGATATCCTACGCCTCCTCCAAGAGCTCCTCCATTTCAGACGACAGCTACGGCTGTCTGGCCTGGAACATACCTGCCCTGGAGCTCATGGCCCTTTATGTAGCAGCTGCAATGCACGACTATGACCATCCCGGTCGCACAAATGCCTTTCTAGTAGCCACTAATGCACCTCAGGTAACCGGCAGCGTCTACTGCGAGTGTTGAGGAGGGAATCAAACCAGAGTGTCTTTATTTCTTGTACTTGTGTGGAAAACCCTGTTGTAGTGCTTTTCAAACCCGCTCAGAATCCTTCAATCTCATTATACCAAAAAAAAGTATGACATTGGGTGCAAAGAACGACTATAAATTAACAAACTGTGCAAGATAAAAACAAGACGAACAAGACGTTTGCTGCCTTCATACTAAACAGTTTTTACTTTATCTATCTGTAAATCTTCTCCGACTTGCTGGTCAAAGCTTTTTCTAGAAATAATAATAATAAAACTAGCAGCATTCTTCATGGATTATAAGTGTCACCATCCATCCAGCCGTCTGTTCTTTCAGTTATCCGCTCAGAAACAGGAGGTCAGATTTTGGTCAAAACGTGCCTCCTAACAGGAATTATTTTCTCTGAACAACAACAGACGAAGAGCAAATATCAGCTCTGGTGGTGTCTGGGCCGCTGATCAATTCTGTGTATATATGCAAAATCACATGTCCGGCCAAGGCGCCCCTAGTGGCGGCTGCAGGACTGTTTTTTATTTTTTTTAAACCTAATTTTTAAAACAGACAAACTAAATGACACAAGCAGTTATTTATAACTTCTAAACATTTCATATTCTCATAATTGACCTGACTGTCATTCAGGCGGACTCACATAGTTCTGATGTCTGCAGTGTGACGGTTAATCTTTAACTTGAGTCAACACCGTCCTTATATCATTTTCTTTACATGCTTCATAACACAAAGCCGTTTTCTGCTCGATTGATATGAACACAGACTTTTGGTGTCGTCTCTACAGCCTCACGTGGAGATGATCTGTAGGAGTAGCTGATCCCAGGAGGGATGAAACGGTTAACCACTTGCCCCAGTTTAAATATTGCACTTTCACAACATGTCCGGCGATAGCACTTACACTGTCTGGGTCTTGTCCCAGGAAAAGTGGGTTAAAAGAAGGGAAAGGGAACCCTGAACCTATTGATCGCTAATGATGTTGACAACCGTAGTGTTTGCTGAATGGATCTTAAGTCTTTCTTCGTATCTGACGTCCCTGTCGCTGCTTTTAACCCGTCGCTCCCCTCAGCTATACGTTTGTCATATTTCTGATTTCATAACCAAATACCCTCGTGTCCTTTTTACCTCATTTATTGAGTGCTTGCTATTTTTAAATCCAATACAAATTGTGTAACTCATACGCGGACGCATTATGTAAGCAAATTTATCATTTTACAGGAAATTGTGGGAATCTTCTTAGCGTGTCATCTTTCCCCTCTCTCACCACTTGTGTTTTGTTTTTTTTGGGCGTAGGCGGTGCTGTACAACGACCGCTCAGTGCTGGAGAACCACCACGCTGCGTCCGCATGGAGCCTCTACCTGTCCCAGCCTGAGTTCAACTTCCTGGTCAACCTGGATCACGTGGAGTTCAAGCGTTTTCGCTTCCTTGTCATCGAGGCGATACTGGCCACAGACCTCAAGAAGCACTTTGACTTCCTGGCTGAGTTCAATTCCAAGGTATGAGATGCTTTCATTTCTTGCAAAATATTGACTCGAGCATCGAGAGGAAGCAGCGTTTAGATGTGGCTGAGCAGTAAGCAGCAGAGTGAATGCAGGACAAACCAGTGGACTAGCTCTGATGTAAGGCATCCGTCTTTTTTTTTCTTTGCCAACAGGTGAACGATGTGAACAGTCCAGGAATTGATTGGACCAATGAGAACGACAGACTGCTGGTGTGCCAAGTGTGTATCAAGCTGGCAGACATCAACGGGCCAGCCAAGGTCCGTGACTTGCACCTCAAGTGGACAGAAGGCATCGTCAATGAGTTTTATGAGCAGGTACAGACCGCATGCTGACGCTGTGTTCAGGCATCATTGATCAGTTATCTCTATATGGAACTTGTAGAAATAATAAAACGACATCTGATTTTATACCGTTTTTGTAAAATGAGAGCACACCCTCAGAAAAGAAGACAGAACTTTTACACTTCATCTCATCTGAAGCTCAGCAACACAATGAACAAACACAAAATAGAGAAAAGAAAACCAACCGATGGAGGAAACAGAAGTGTGAGCGCTAACTAAACTAGCATCAGCAGCCAAGTACTGCCTGTGTGTTCTGGACACTTCCACCCCGTCAGAGCGCTGCCCCAGGGTGGAAGTGGAACGTGCACAATCGCACCGGTCAGTTAGGCTGAACTCCAGCGATGCGTCGTATTCTAACAACACACTCGTTATTATAACAACTATGAACAATAATGAACAACTAATGAGCCTTCCAGCATCAAGCCCTCCTCGTATCTGGACCTCCGTCTGGACAATCCGACAGCTTTGATATCCGACATAGAAGAAGGTTTTACATTTAGAGTCGGATCATCGAGTCACGGCTGTATTAGCATCCTGCTGCTCTCTGATTATGAAGTCGTTTCCACCAGCTTCCTCTTTCATTTCTAAAGAACTGTGTTGAAATCTAATCTTTGTTTCTAATCTGCAGGGAGATGAGGAGGCCAGGTTGGGATTACCCATCAGCCCCTTCATGGACCGCTCGTCCCCGCAGCTGGCCAAGCTGCAGGAGTCCTTCATCACCCACATTGTAGGGCCGCTCTGTAACTCCTACGATGCTGCTGGCCTGCTTCCCGGCCACTGGATTAACGAAGCGGGATCAGATGAAGACGACGAAGAGGGACAGGTGGACATAGACACGGACGAAGATGAGGATGACGAGGACGAGCTTGAAGATGAGCTGGCACCAAGTAAGATTCCACACCCACAGACCAACGGATGAGCTTATGATGAGGGTCTTTTTAACCTGCTTCACACTGTTAAACCAGAGAGTCTGGTTTGCAGAGATTTACACTGAATTATACTCAGTAACACCAGAAAACAAGTCACCTTTCAGTTTAACTGCTCTATCCATATGCATGATCCCTCTCTCTTGATGGCTCTGTTTCTCTCCCCTCTACTCTCTTTAACTGCTTTTCTCTTCAACTCTCCCCAACCTTTTATTTCGGCCATTACATAACATTCAGTGTTGCTGCCATGTTTTTTTCCATTTCTGGTATCACCGTCAGGTCACCATAAGCCAGGCAACCTTTGACCGCCTGGTGACCCATAAAGTTCACTCTTACACCAGTCTAGAGTTTCCTAAACGAACATGTTTGCCTTTTTTTGTCGTGGCAGGAAGGAGGAAAAGCCGCCGCAGGTTGTTCTGCAGCATCATGCAGCACCTGACGGAGAACCACAAGGTGTGGAAGAAGATCATCGAGGAGGAGGACAAGAGCAAAGAGCTGGGCAAGCAGCAGCCGGCAGACAGCCTGCCCACCTCCCCGTCGGATGACATCCAGGTCATCCAGGAGGAGGAGGAGGGCGAGGAGCGTCAGTAGCAGGAGGTCAACGGACAGAACAGAGACGTGTGAAACAGAAGAGGAGAGGCAGCAGAAGGACACGAGTCCCTCGACCACCTGCCTTTCACTGACAAACAGTTGACAAATGCACATAAAACACACTTTGCTCCCTCACACACACACACACACACACAAATGCAAACACACACATAATGAAAGATTCACTGTGCAGACACTCAGATGCTTAAGCAGTCACATTGTTTTTGGAGAAACAAAAAGGCCTTACTACTGTGAGCGGATCCTTACTGCAACGGTGGGGGCCCAACTCCTATGCACTTTCACCCCATGGAGAGTCAAGTGCACCCAGAAAAACAAGCACCAGAACTGAGGAGGAAGGTGCAGAAGAAGAAGAAGAAGAAGAAGAGAGTGGACGGGGTCCAGCATTAACTTGCCCTCCATGGTAACCTGGCTGTGATGCTGCCTTGAATGCAAAGCGCTTAACACCTCCCTTAGGTACAAAACAATTTCTGTATATTTAAAAATAAAATTTAAAAAAAATAATAAAAAAAAAACAAAAGGTAGAGGAAAAGTACTGATGCAAGTGACATCATGAAATGATTGAAGCCCTTTACCAAAGTGAACAGTTCATACACGGAAAGACAAGAGACTGAAAGCGTTTCAGCCTCAGTGTCAGGTATATTTTTGAATTATATATACACACATATATATATATCAAATGATGTGCCTGTCTGAACCTTTACTAAGTCCATACTGGCCCAGAGCCTAGGCTTGTGTAGTTCTCTCTCCTTGCTGGCGACACGAAACACTGTATCAGACTCAGTCACAGAGACATTATTGAGATGTTGACTGATTAATAGCATTATATCTGCATCATTTTTGATGCTTTTACTCATGTGTACCACCCGTCTTTTTCTTTTTTTGACTTCTTTAACTCTCCGTTCTTTATTTGAGTGTGTGAATATTTCTTTTTTGTTTGGCAGGAATGTGATAGAGAGAATGAGTAGGGAGAAAGAGAGCACATTTTTAATTATTTTAGGATGTAATTCTGTGTGTATGTCTGTGTGTCCTTTTTAGCAATGGTTGGTTTCTAATCAGTGAAATGTCCTCTGATGTTTAACATGTCGCATTCAGATCAGGAGTGCTGTTTCAATGAATGGATTCTTCATTTTCCTTTTCCTTTTTTTGTTTTTTTTGATTATAAGTATTTTTTTAAAGGTTACTCAGGATTCACGCAAAGTTGAAAAATTATTTTGCAAGAATTTATGTCATTAATATGAAATACACTTTAAAAAAAACGAAGAAAATTAAAAATCTGGGTGACTGAAGTAGTTTGTAATCTCTCAATGAACAACAAACAAAGTCAAGCAATCGAGATCCTCCGGGATGGAGGAGCATCATGCAGTCTGTGCTGTCTCTTGGCCGTTCGTACACTGTTTGCATAACCTTTTTACGACCTCACTGGAGAAAAGAAAAGAAAAAAAAGCTTATCTTGATTGTCTGCAAACATCTGTCCTGCAGCAACACATCGTACGATTACAGCAGAACATTAGGCTGTTTTTTTAATATTTTAATTCTCGTTTTAAACCAACAGTACGACGTCTACATTGACAACGGAATCCAACTTTCATTTTTCTCTTTTTAAAAAACGCCCACAACTCGGCCAGTGTGTGAAGAAGGGATCCAGGGTTTCATGTCACTTTTTCTTTATATATATCTATATCTATATATTTTACGACGTGCCACGAGGCAGGTTAAAAAAGTTCTCTAATTTTGTCTCTAAGAACTCTTTGGCATTCCACTAGAATAAGACGTTTTCTCAAAGGTAAAGGGCAGAGCTGTCGCCGCCTGGCTCCTTTACCACCTGATTAAATCACAACCTCTGGAGAAAAAAAACAAAAGCAGTGTAACTCGAGGTAGGAATATTTAAAGACAAAAAAAAAAAACAGATGTGCACATTTTAATACCAAACGAGTGTTTAGCCGCTGTACAAAAGAGTATGTGCGTATAAATATATATTTTTTAAAATAATCAAATGAATGCATCTGTTTTCTACACACAGCTGACATGTTGTACATCCTGTAACTACCGATTGTGTTTCCAGAGTTTTTATCGACTTACAGGTGTGGAACTGTGGGGGTTTGGTGTTTGATTTGTTTTTTCCACTTGGTTTCAGCCTCTCCTTGTTCTGTATCATAACCACTCTTGTATTCCTCATTATCTCTCTTCTTCTTCTCTGATCGCTGTCGCATCACTCGACCCGACCGGTGCCAAACTTTACCTGCATACTGTAATGTGTGGGCTGTGTTACGCTGATTGGCGGATTTCTCTGGGCTCCGGTGAAATGTTCCACCAGGATCAAAAAGCGGCGGCAGTGACGGTAACGAGAGTCGGGTTCGGAGCCGCACACATTCTGACAAATCAGTTGTTTTGTTTGTTTTATTTACACGTGGACCCATGCTGGACCATAAAGCCTTGGTCGCTCCTGAACCTGACGTATTCTGGCTCATTAAGTTGTAAACGTGTGTTGGCTTCTCACTGTGCAGTCCTCCAAACCCACAGTGTCCTCTGATGATTGTGCCATAAATACATCTATGAATGGTTGTTACCCTTATGCAGCATCAGTATACGTACGTCTGTCTAATGTAACCATTCACCCTTATCTACATTGTGGGGGGGGCAACAGGTTTTTGTTGTTATTTATAGCTGTCATAAAACACCATCCCTTAAGTATGAGCAGTTCTCATTGATTTTTATTGGTGTTTGTGTGTGTGTGTCTGTGTAAACTCACAATATACACGTTTTTCTTTCTTCTTTTTTTTTTTTTTGTCCATGCCACCTCGAATAAACAGAAAGAGACCGTAAATGCAGCAAATGCACACCTACACATGTTTTAACTTATAAGGCCTCCCCCCCCCGTACAAACTGCTTGATTGACACTAAACTGGTTAGGGTGGAACCAGTTACCCTCCCATTTATATTAATGCATAACACCTGAGTTATGCAGAGTTCAGCCTGAGCAGAGGTCCTAATCAGGAACAATGGGTCGCTCCATGCAGAATTCATTCCCCCGGCTCTGCAGCGCTGCAGCTTCCTCCGGCATCATGGCGTCTTTCAGCTCATTGCTTTAATTGTACTGTTCTCATGAGCGACATATAGGCTGCAGAAGGACCCCACAAACCTCAGTAACCAGCCGTGGAGCGTTGGAGAGCTAAAAGAAGAGTTAAAATCGTTCCTAATGCTCGGAGCACCACAGCGGTTACATAACGAGTCGCTAATGTCTTCTGCGTCTGCTAAAATCATAAATAAGCCGCCTGTTTGTTGCTCTGCTGACATGAATGTATTTACTGGTTGCTGGGTTGTCCCAGAGTCATAACACCATCTCACCATCCATCACTGCATGGGCGGACGTTTGATTCGAACGCTTCTTTCTCTGCACTTCTAAGCATCCGTTTCTGATGGAAATGCCTTTAACTCAAGTAAAGGAAACAAACAGAAATCAGGCCGCGGGTTACAGTGTGATATATGTTGGAATACGACGCACTCAGGAATGTCTTAGGGCGTTCAAATATTTATTTAGCTATAGATTTAGATCAACTGTTTTCCTATCCCTGCTGAGTCAGCACGCATACGGGCGGGATTTCTGTCTTCTTGTGTGTCCTTTACCTTTTTTAAACGTGCATGTGGCACCTGTTCACATCGACGAGGAATTAATTTAATTTTATCAGTTTACAAACCTTTAATAAGTTTCTCCTCATGCCCAAAACTTTCTGTACATTCAAAACATATCTCACATGACTGTGTTTTGGGATTTCTAGGACTCGTACAGCTCAGCCGTGCTGCTAAAGTCTCTACATAATTATGGAAAACAAAAACAATAGTTAAAGGTAAACTTCTTTTTAAAAAATGCACCTAAACCAGCCTGTGTGCACACGGAGGTAATTCTGGTACGTCACTACAGTGTGTGTGTGTGTGTGTGTGTGTGTGTGTGTGTGTGTACGAGTGGCCGGGATCATTATTTTTGCCACAAAAGATTCAATTGTTGTTTGAGCTCCTAATTTATGCTCATAATTTGGGCCTAAACTAGAGTTTATGGCCTCCTCTACATGAACACAGGTGTTTTCTAAAACTGGGTGTTTCCTGCTTTATTCTCAAAAAAATAAAAATCTTCATCCACATGAAAAATGCTGTAAAGAACCAACAGGCACAGATTTAACTCTAAAGACATGTTGGCCAATCAGAAGCCTGCAAAAAACATCTAAGTTCAGGTCTGGCGGGCTGACAACAGTCGAGGAAACGGTGGGAATCATTTGTGGAGACGGTGTCTGATGCCTCTGCTGCTCGATACCTGTACACGTATGTGCCTGTAGAACGTCCTGCTAGCGAGGCTGGCATCGGCGCTGTTTTGGCCACCGTTGCACAAAACCACCTCGTGCAAACAAAGGAGATAACGGCGACTCTCACAAGCCAAAAACAATGTTTGTCTACGTGTCTGCGTGCCAACACTTCACATGGACTTCCTGAAAATCATCACGCTGGAAGTAGTTTTCTGAAAAGTCAGTTTGCTGTCGCCTAAGCTGTGTTCTGTGTGGACAGAAGGCCAACATGCTATAATCTTAAAAAAAAAAAAAACTGGTTTTATTGGAGGCTGCAGGTGGCTCGGTGGTTAGCTAGAAGGTCGCCGGTTGGCGTCCCGGTGAGGACACTCAGGATCTTTCTGCGTGGAGTCTCCATGTTCTCCCCGTGCAGCATGGGTTCTCTCCGGGTTCTCCGGCTTCCTCCCACAGTCCACAAACATGCTGAGGTTAATTGGTGATTGTAAATTGTCCGTAGGTGTGAATGTGAGTGTGCTTGGTTGTCTGTCTCTAAGTGTAGCCCTGTGATAGACTGGTTACCTGTCCAGGTGAACCTGCCTTCACCCTGAGTCAGCTGGGATAGACTCCAGCCCCCTGATACCCCAGTGAGGTGTATAGATATTGGATGGATGTTTTATTGGGAGATATTGAGGACAGAGCTGAGCAAAGACAGATGGTTTCTTTTCTCCTTCCTGAACATAGTTTATAGATGATGAGTGTGTGGGACTCCTCAGACTAACAGTAGATGCCTGAGTCCTCCACCTGTCACATCCATCAAGAGATTCTGCAAGTCTACTGCCTGAGAACATTTAAGGATTTAAAGTTATAACTAAATCTCAGCTCTTTGTCCACTTCGAATGTGGATTTCAGCAACGGTAGCTTAAAGACGACAAGACGAGTTTCCAGTATCTTAAGAAAGACTTTATGTATGTACACAAAAAAAACACAATCACACCGTCAATATTACAAAAACAAGAACAAACAAAAGTTAACCTTTACATATAAATGCAGTACACTGTCAGTACGGATAAGCACCATTTAGCAGAAATCAGTGTTGCACAGTCAGTTTTTATAAATGCACCAGGGTTGCATTTGCTTTCTAAGAGCAAGGTTTTCCGCAGAGCACCATCCCTGGAGAAGGGGTCAGAGTCAGTCCAGATGACGCAAATCTTGGCCCCCGTCCAGCTCCAACACAGTTTTCAGAACTTTCTTGGAAAGTCTGTTAGTCCAATTTCACCCAGCGCATGTGAACTATCGATGTCAGCTGTCTGACTTCCAGCAGTCCCGGGAAGGCAGGGCTATGAACCAGCGGAGGTGTACATACTATCAATCATTGACACAAACCTAACCCGCTGCCTCCGCACCGAGGTTCATAGACATTTCATTTTGTGGGCTCCGAGAACTAAATCGATAGCACACTTGTGTTCCCAGGATGTCCTTTGAGCACTTGCTGCCTCCCCTGCTGTTTAAAGGTAATGTGCAAACATGCATATTGCTCAGTTTAAAAAAAAATCAATAGTAATTGAATAAACTAGATTACATGTTCAGATGCAGAGAGGCACCTCTCCTACTGAAAGTCCTTTGGAAAGAAGATTGCAATGCACTGGAACAGTCCAGAATGATATAGTTTTTATATCATGTGGTTGCATTGCTGTGCAAAGTCGTACAAATCTGGCTTGAACATGCGAGAATAATTGCTTTCTTGTCTACTTGTTATAAGGAGTGTCTCCGCTGCAGGGAACTTTGTGTTGCCGGCGGACTGCACAGATGGAGTAGGGTTTGGGCTGCAGGGTCATGCCCAGTTTGGGAGTTACAGTTGGAACGGTTCCTGGTGGGAACTGAAGATGAAACCTCTGCAGCAGAGTCGTGAAGAAGAGGAACATCTCCATTCTGGCCAGCTGTTCACCCAGGCAGTGACGCCTCCCTGAAAGGAAACAACCAAAAACGTTACTTCTTTGATTAAACTTCATTTTAAGTTAATTTATGCAAACAAAACAGTTTTTGCTTAATTTTAAAAAACACTTTTACAAAAGCATTTACTCATTTTTATTTGGTTGCAAATGCTGCTGGAAGTTTTTGCAACTGTGATCGTGAAAAGTAGACAGAATAGAAAACTGATGAAGCTCAGTGAGTCCATCAGGACTCATTCATAAGCATCGGCTGAGTTTTACGTTTTTGGTGGATGTGATTCTTATCTAAGACCTTTTAACTGTGAACTCTGAAAACAATTTGAGGGCAAATGAAATAGACACTGGTCTGTAGGAAGCTCAAAGACACTGACCCAGAGAGAATGGAAGGAAGGCCTCGCGCCTCACGAAGTTGCCGCTGCTGTCCAGAAACCTCTGTGGTAAGAACACGCCTGGATCGTTCCAGTACTTCTCGTCAAAGTGCACAGAGTAGAGGTTCGTGATCACCATGGTGCCTTTGGGGATTGTGTAGCCGTTGACTTTTGCATCCTGGGAGGTGGCACGGAAAATACCGAGTGGCACGATGTTGCAGAAGCGAAGGACCTCGTGCAGGACGGCCTCCACGTAGGGCATCTTCTGCTTGTCCTCCAGAGTGGGAGCCCTCCCATTGGCCAACACACTGTCGATCTCCCGGTGCACCCTCTCTTTAAAGGGAAGAACAAGACACTGTCAAGAACTTATTCAGGCTTAATGTGATGTAACTGTGACATTAATATGTGCATCAGATGTTCTCATAACAGGAAGACGCCTCTGCTACGACTGACCTTGTATGTTGGGGTACATGGCCATGTACAGCATGGCCCAGCGCAGCGTGTTCGTCGTGGTTTCTGTCCCAGCGATAATGAGTTCGCCCACTGAATAGATGAGATTCTCATAAGAATAGGAGGACGTGGGGTCTCCTGCATTCTGCTCCAACTCATCCAAGTAGGCGTCAACGTAGTGGCGCGGTTCATGAGGCACCCTGCCCTGAGAAAACCCGTTTATAACCTCCAGCAAGAAGTCATAAACTTGAGCAGCGTTGCGGAACAGCTTCTGGTGCTTTCCAAAGGGCACATACTCGATCCAGGGGAAGGCGTTGTAGAGGAAGGCCCAGCCGCTCACCGCCAGCTCCACGTTCTCGCTGAAGATCTCGATCATGTGCTGGAAGTTGCGGTCGTCGTAGGTGAAGCGCTGTCCGAAAATGATCAGATTGGTGATGTTGGACACGGCGTTGGTCACCAGGTGTTTGGGGTTGAAGGGTTTGCCCTTGTGCTCGTCGATGGCATCGACGAAGAACATGCACTCCTCAGAGATCTTCCTCTCAAACAGTCTCTGGCCGCTGCCGAAGTAGCGGAAAGAGTTGCAGGCGAGCTTCCGGTGTTCAATCCAGCCTTTGCCATATTTACAGTTAAGGAGCCCTTTAGACACAAATAAGAGAGAATAAATCATTTAAAACTTCATTTAAGGTATTAGATGTTAAGAAACTTCCAAACAGGATTACATATTGTTATCATATTAGAGCATCTTACCACCCATTTTGGTCATTTTTTTGAATAACGGCAGCGACGGCCGGTCAGCAAACACCTCGCTCTGGTGGTAAAGGCATTCCCGGACACAGTCGTAGCCGTTCAACACCACGGTCAGGATGCCCCCCAGGTCAAGACTGAAAATCTGAAAGGAACAGCATTGCAACATGAGCGCTGCAGCCTTTTTGTTCTTTGCACACATTTATTTGTTATTTTTCCACATTCATGTGCAGGAATGTGAGATTTGCACCACAATTACATCATTTTGTCTATTTTTTCTCTCCAAAGTCTTGCTGATATCTAACAAAGCAGAGAGTGAATGAAACTTATCTCTTCATCTATTTAAAAAAAAAAAAAAAAAAAAACCCAGCCATGCACTGAACAAAAGAAGTCTGTTCCTGTGTGTCAGAGGGATTTCTCTTTTCTCTGCATTCTTATTCTCCTGCAGACAGACCGCCACCAAACGACAGGGCGAGTCTCTTTTGTTCGTTTCATAACTATTTCCGAGTGTGTGCATGAGCGACACGGAAGCTTCAAGTTTGCAGGAGAAGAAGAAGAAACCCGAGAGAGAGGAGCGGTGGTGACAAAGGCGCTGCGGGTCAGTCCGAGTCATTACCTGTCCGTGAACTTCACTCTGGTTCTTGAGGAAGACGTGCGGCTCGGTGACCAGAGACAGAATGCTGCCGATCACCGGGATGGGAGATGGACCGGGAGGGAACCCCGGGGGTCTCCTCTGCTTGACGAGCTGGCGGACCAGCAGGAAGGCGAGCAGGGCGACGGAGAGGCAGCCCGCAGCGAGCAGAGCCTGCGCGCAGGACACCGGCACCAGAGACGGAGGCTTCAGAGAAACCATCTTTTTTTTTTTTTTTTTCGTTCTTGCAAAAAAAAATACAAATAAATAAATAAAAATGTCTGTGCTCCCTGCAGACACACTCTGCTGACTCCGGTCTCCTCTTCTGAGGAACTGAAGCACACATGTGTGTCATCTTGTACATTTTCTATCCCCCGCCTCTAAAGCTAAGATTGGCCAGAAAAAGAAAAAAAAGTCAACTGTCGGTGAACTTTGTTCTGCTCTTGATCAATAATTCGGATCGGTTTGGTGCTTATTAGGTGGTTTTGGGGGGCTGCTTTTAATAAACCTACAGAGGAGGAGGCAGCAGGAGGAACAGCTGCTCTTTATTGGATAGAAAAAATAAAAAGTTTTACATGTTAAAGCTGCAAAATGCATGCAGACGTTTGTAGGACTGGATGTGGATCACACTTGCACAAGCACCATCACGCAATTATGTAAGTTAAATCTGTCACAGTACAGCAGCAGAGACAGACAGACTTCATCAGTCTGAATTAAACCATCATTTGAATGCACACACAGTCTGGAAGCCTCTTTGCAGGTTCGTGGACTTTGCAGAAACACATCCGAGTTCAAGTTTTTGCAAGCTGCAAGTGAATTTAAACGCCACCACCTCTCGAGTCCAGTGACACGGACCAGTTTGAAACCTATAAATGAGAGAATCAGGAGCGTGGGGTGAGCTTTAACGCCCACACACAATCCATCTGATGCAAACAGAGCATTTCAGTATCTGTTCTACTACATGAAACTAAAATGAAGAAGATTATTTTGCACACTGTAGGTTTGTTTATTGCATTTGTCGGTAAAAATCAACAGAAAAGTCATTACACAATTTCTTCTACTTGTTTCTGTTGCCAAACAGCTCCAGACAGTCAACAACTGTTTTAGGTCTGAAATGTTGAAAGGTCCTGGCAGTGTCGTCGGATTCTCATTTACGCCGAACGTTGCTCGTTTTGGCAACTCGGGAGCAGCGCTAGACGGGTCACTTTGTCTAAATGTTAAGCAAGTGTACTGTTTCAGCCGTAAAGTTTGAGTCAAACAAACATTTCTAGGAAGCGAAGCCGAGGATTATGTCACCGGCTGAGTTAAATCTCAGCTGATGGTTCAGGACACAAATAAAGACAACAGACTGGAAGCAAGATGCCATCATATTGACATTAAACACATCATAAAGCGTCTTCGTGAGATGGACAGGACAGCGGGAGCGTTTCTTGGAATCTTTTCTGGAATTGTTTGAAATCAACTGGAAAACCGTTCTTCTCAAAGACTTTCCCTCGTTTGGTGTTTTGATGATGGTTGTGGTTAACACTCACCAGATCGGTCTGAAATCCCTCATAGGGGTTCAGCTGGGCTCAGAACTTCTGACTGTGAAGGCCAAAGTAGTTGGTTCACACATTTTCATTCAGTGCCCTGTGGATGGAGGCCTCGTCGTCCTGGAGGAGACCGCTCTCATCAGGTTGGACATGTTAACACGGGACAAAGATGGCCGCTCTATTTGTCAGGAGACCAGTGGACACAAACAACACAACAGAGCCACCAGATCCCCTCACAAGTTTCCCCTTTCATCTCACCGTAGACTGTCTGGACCTACGGTGCTCCTAAATGGGATGTCATTTGTTTGACCTTCACAACAACAAACTTTAAATACAGTGAGTTTGCTGCCTTGGTGATACTGGACCCACTGGACCCACTGGAACCCAAACTGAACAGAACACAATGGTTCGTGTTGTGAAGAACACGTTTTGCAATAAGATCATGTTTAATACCTACTAATGGAAGACCTGGTGACCATTTTTATAGCAAAGAAGCATTAAAAACTGTATTTGATGACTAAACCTTTAAATAATCCTGCATGGACAGTAAGTACAGAACCAGTCCAAACGCTGGACACTCTCAGCGTTCTCACAACCAGCTTCATGAGGTCGTCTCCTGGTCAGGAGTCAGTTTGTGGAATTACTTGCCTTCTTCATGTGTTTGAGACCATCAGTTGTGTTGTGCAGCGGTAGGGTTAGTCCACAGTGGACAGCCCTATTTGATTACTAGTCCATAGTACGGCCAGAACCACTCGATTCAGTCAAGACAACAGACAGTCCATCATTACTTTGAGACATGGATGTCAACGGATCTGGAAAATGTCAAGAACTTTGAATGTGTCCTCAAGTGCAAACACCATCAAATGCTACGAGGAGACTGGCTCTCGTGAGGACCGTGAGTTACCTCAGAGGATCAGTTCATTAGAGTCACCAGAAAATGAACAGCACCTCAGATTAGAGCCCACGTAGGTTCTTCACAGAGTTCAAGTAGCAGAGGAATCTCAACATCAGCTGTTCAGAGGAGACTGTGTGAATCAGGCCTTCATGGTTGAACGACTGCAGAGAAGCCATTACTGAGCAACAAGAAGGGAATTGTTTGGGCCAAGAAACACAAGGAATGGACATTAGACCAGTGGAGGCCTTTACTTTGGTCTGATGAGTCCAAATTTTTGGTTCCTGTCACCGTGTAGCCTGAAGGAGGAGCTGTGATGGTGTGGGGGGGCTTTCCTGGTGACACTGTTGGATTTATCAAAAGTTCAAGGCACATTAACCAGCATGGCTACCATAGCCTTCTGCAGCACCGTGCCATCCCATCTGGTCTACTGGGACCCCAAATACACTTCCAGGTATGTCAGGGCCGTCTGACCAAGAAGGAGAGTGATGGAGCGCTGCGTCAGACGACCTGACCTCCACAATCAGCCGACCTGAACCCAGCTGAGATGGTTTGGGATGAGTTGGACCAGAGTGAAGGTAACAACAAGTGCTCAGCAGCTCTGGGAAGTCCTTCAAGACTGTTTGACAACCGTCCAGGAGACGATCTCATGAAGCTGAGCGTGCAAAGCTGTTATCAAGCAAAACGGGGCAGAATCTAAACCGTAAAACACATTCTGGTTTGTTTAACACTTTTTTGTTCTGTCATAGTTTTGTTTTCTTCAGTATTGATCTACAATGTAGGAAATAATTAGAATAAATAAAAACCACTGAATGAGAAGGTGTGTCCAAACCAAATACATAACACAGAAGAAAACATTACAAACCATAGGAGGCAGATTTTTCTTTAATTTTTTTGGTGGCATATATTTTAAACTGTATTTTTGTTTTTGTATGCTCTGCACTGTATAAACACTATTTACATTTTTCACATGTCCTTTTTTTAGAATGTTTCTCTGCATATTTCCATGTCCATCCATAAAACCCAGTTGTAAGCAGAAATGAGCAGAACCTCAACATCACACACACATTTTTTTTATGTCGAAACTGAACCCGACATTAACTGTAACGTCATAAGTAGTACTGACAATATGAATAACTCTACTCTTAGATAGTAACTACACGATTCTAAAAGGAAAAAAAAATCCATATAATTTTACACAAACCCCCCCCCAACAAAAAACAAAAACAAATCAATGAGCGTCTTGGTGCTTATCAAAATTGAACCGAGGAGTCTTCGTAAACCATATCTGTGTGTCACCGTGTTTTCAGCAAATAAACTTTGAACCAGTAATCTGCTGCAGCTTCCAGGTCATGGACTACATTCAGAGGTTAAAGGTGACGGCATGCGCCACATTCCAAACTTGCATAGCTGCATGTGATTTTTCACGTTTGTAGGTCAGAACTCGTGCAGGACCTTTCATGGATGTTATGGGACGGGACAGACAAATAATCATCCTGTTAATGCGGTTTGTAAAAATCACGCTCTCCACTTTGCGATCAGTTCATCACGATGAACCGGCTCCTCGTTAGACATGAAGTCGTTTATCCAGCCGTTCCTTCCTGTTGAGGCAGCTGGTAAGATTTTTATTTATTGTTTTTCTAGATGCATCACTGACCTCTGCAGACCTCTCCTAATCATTCAGATATGTTCGGGCCACCTAATGAGGACATTCTTGCAAATGACTTCTTTGCTTCCTGCCAGCTCCCCTGACTCCAAAGCTGTTCTGGAAGCGTTAAACACATCTGTCAAATTAAATAGAAAAAATCCTGCTCTCGATGTTGGATTATCTTATTAGTCGTCGGACTAATCAAAACACCAGCGACTAGTCGTCCAGGTGGTGGACCTTATGGATTCGGAAACACAGAATGGTGGAAAAGACGTGAAAAATATCCAAGTTACAGGTAACATAATGAATGAAACTGAATCTGGTAAGAAAAAAAAAACCTGCCAGTTAATTCCACAATGAGAACAGCGCTTACTAAAAGGCATGAATGTTATTAGGTTGGATTCATGAGATGGGACTTTTAAGTTTCCCAAGTGTAGGATCTGGTTTTGGTGGGGGTTTTTTTAGCTTTAAGTGAAAGGTTAGGTGATGTTGGCTTCTGCTGGACTATTTTTATGCCCAAACATTTTACATTAATAATGAGTTAATAGGTAGAAGACACAAAAAACAGAAATTAAATACCTGTTTCGTTCGCAGTCCTTCCCTTTAAGGCAGTAAATGGGGAGCTACCAACACACGTCCACATCCTGCAGTGGATCTATTCCTGCCCAGTGTGTGTGACTTTAATGCGGTTACTATACGTGTGGTAGAACAGCATCAGTCTTTACATTATGAGGCCATTTGGAGCGCGTTCTTCCTGTTCTGCTGTACTGGTGGCTGTTTGATTAGGCGAGTGCTGCCTTCTGGATTATTTACCATCTTGCAGCTGGAATTATGAAGCGTATGGAGAAAATGCAATTACTGACCTTCTCTGTTAATACTCATGCTGTCCAGAACCTCATTTTTTTCCCCAACATAATGACAGCGGCAGGGACATTAAGAGGTCTTGTAAGCCCTGTGCAACCTCTGGGCAGGTGTTTAAATGTTGGCTTAGCTTTGGTTGGATCAGAGCAGCAGGTGGACGTCCCTCTGCTTATAACTTCATGTGCCTCAGTGTGAGTTTAATGTTCTGTCTGAAGATGCTGAGAAAACATCCGGATGTTCTGTTTCTTTCCAGCATCCATTACAGGTGCTCCACACGTTGCTGATTTTTCCACTTCTTGACCACTTCCAGCGCACTTTGAGGTCCGACTAATGACGACGGCTTCAAAATGGGTTCATAAACTTGCTGTCTTACCACCAGAACTGCCCTCTGTGCAGGTTCATGTGGCTTTAAAATAAATCTAAGTATTGATGCTGTTTCCAAACATATCTTTAACTGCTTCGGTTTCCGCCTACTTTCTCCAAACACAATCACATCATCTGTAATTGAATGCAGTATTTATGATCAGCTTGTGTGGTGCCTCTGTTTAGCTTTCCATCTTAGATTTAACAAGCCTGGATTATTATAAAGGAAAAGTCTTTGCGGAGGACTGACACACCTTTTGGCAACACAACTCAAACATTCACACAGACTTCCTGCACTGTGGGATCATTCCAGCTGATTATCAGTTCAAACAATGCCAGATATGGATATTAGAAAGAACTTTGAAGGAAATTCTCATCGGGGCATTTTAGCAGAGCTGCTTCAGTTCGGGGGAAGACACGTTTGCAGCAACTCTGCTGAGACGGTCACTGATGAGCGCTGCAGCGAGCACAATGCTGCCCTCTCTGTCATGAATGCTCTCCTGTGTTGTAATTAATTTTCCAGGCCAATTCATGCCTAACATCTGAGAATGCGAACAGTGTGAGCTAATTGCAGTCTTGACAATGCACTTGTCCCCTTGGAATGTAATTTCTCTGCCTCAGCTGGTGTCTGTGGTCAGAGCAGGCGGTGGTGGAGGGGCATTAGTCCACAGACAGGGGGGCAACTTTATACTCTCCTTATATTTGCAGACCTTGCTGTTTGGACACTTTATTCTGGATTCTGTGAGTTCTGGTTTGCAGGGATTTTCTGTCTTGACGTACATAACTGACGCTGCATTAGAGGGCGGAGAAGCAACCTAAAGATGCGTTTATGAAATGAAATTGTCTTAGCGGGGTATTAAAATGCAAAGAAGACAACTGACACCGATCGATGGAATCTCCTGCTCTGAAGTCTTCAGTCTTTCATGAGCAGCACGCGGAGCTGTCAGACGCTAATTCAGTGCCTCTGGTGTAGGGCCTGCAGGTCTGCTCAATAGCACTAAAAGGCTCATCTACGCTAATGAGCTTCCTCGTGACGCAAAAAAAATAACTGGGAGGCAGGATGCTTTACGATACATCCTCCAATACTGTTACGTAAGGGGAATTAGAACATGGCCAGAGACCAGCAGCCCAGTAATTAGCTCGGAGAAACCGGATGGATGCTACTGAAAGGGAGGGCTTGGTTTGTTGATAGAGAGCTCGCTGTGATGCTATTTCCACATGAACAAAAAGATCTAACTAATTCACACAGTTCTAAAGTTGCCTGTACAGCAATCTTTAGATGTGTTGACACGTTAGAAGGCTTTACTCTATTTTCTGTCAGTGTTATATTGACACGTGAGGGAGCAGGTTGTAACCACAGAGTACAACCAAAAGTGCTGTTAGATGGCAAACTAACATCTCTGTGATGGCAGATAATCATAAAAACAGGAGATATTGTGGTAAATGGGGAGCATCAATAGCTGGAAAAACTGATGAATCTTCTCATCCAGAGTTCTTCACTCTTAGCTCCTTATACTCGTCCATAGACTGTGTCGGGCAACAAGTGGTTTCCAAATGGAGGCCCTGACTAAAACACTAAAGCATTGTGAAGCTTTAAATGAACACACATTGTTCGGGGCTCTTCGATGCTGTGGTGACGACTCAGTTCTGGATCCTTTAGGGTCAGTTTTTATCAACTTTCTGTGAAGCTTCCTTTCTGATAGTGAACACTGTCTGCACTTGATATTTGGCCCTGTGCCCCTCGCCATGTTAAAATACATGAAGTGCAGCAAAGACGGTCGGCGGTATTTACACCGTTTGTCACCAGATCATTTACAGCAGGAGGTCCGTGTGCACGCTTAAGGAGAACCGGAGATGAATTCTTATTGATTTAAAACCCCACCTATCTTGTTGAGCAAATCACACTGAATCAAACACTCTTTTTGTGAATTGAGAACACTAATGACCACACGGTGACGGGATTTGCATACGAGCTCTTCTATTGGCTTTGGGCAAGCGAAGCAGAACTTCGTCTGACCAATAGACTACGATCAAGTGTCTTCTCTGTAAACACACAAACCCACAGGGAACGTATATAAAACCGTGTGCTGCGGGAGAGCGCGGCACATTCACCAGCGAGTCTTTCATTTCCATCTTCTCTACCAGAGGGTCTGTTGTCTCACGGTGAGTATAGACGGAGTTCCTCTAGATTTAAACTATGCTGCTGCTGTTAGAAATATCAGGTATGAAACTGTTTATTTTAAAGAAATGAAGTTCTTTAGATAGTAGGCGAGGAGGGTTATGGGATGCTGCTCTGCCAGTCTGATGATCTTACAGGTTAAATCCTCTGATGGACAGGGCTGCTGGCAAAGCGTCCAGCACGAGTTCACCACTAATAACTCTTCTGACCGCCTCTGGAGATTCACAGGGCTGTCGATGAGAAACTATATTTAAATGTTATGGATATAAAAATGTAAAACTTCTTTCCATAACTACCTTGTTTGGTGCTGCGTGTGTTTTCCACAGGAAGTCATGATAATGCTGAAGCTCTGGACGCTGCTTCTCGCCTACGCGCTGATCATTTGTCAGATGTACGTCTCACAGGCAGCTCCATCCAGGTGAGAGCTGTGGCGTTACTCCTGCAAGAATAAGACAGATGTACCGTGCGATAAGGTTGATAATTTGCACAAAGAAAACATCTCTATGTCTACCATAACTAAACAAATAGATCTGATTTTAAATCTAGTGAATCCAGTCCAGTCGTTTCTTCATGCTGAGACGGTCATCTCCACTTCAATCACCTTTTACACCTTTTTAGGTTTGATTCCCTTCTCATGGTCTTCGTTTGGGCAGAACCTGAGAGATCAATCTGTCGAATGTGTGTTTTCAGAACCAGTCAGGAGTCCATGTCGGACGGAGTCTCGCTATCGAGCGATGATGCTCAGAGGTTACTCAAAGCCATCAAGGAGTTCATGCAGATCCCCTCAGAGGAGCAAACAGCTGATGGGAACAGGTATGACTTTCATACTTTGAGGTATCATCTTGACATAGTTAATGCTGATAATGAGAATTTATTCAACGTACTGCGCAGGGTGTTACATATAACACACTCTTGTACACAAGCCCAACAGCTCCAACTCTGCCGTTTATTAATAATCAAGGTATAAAGCGAAATACATCTTCTCTCTGTCATGATCACTCAATGCATGGAGTGCAGTTATTCATCCATTCATTCACTAATTAATGGCAGCCTGCAGCCTACTAAGACTCAACAGAGCATGATATCAGACATGAGAACACATGCATGATGAACAAAACATGACAACTGGTCGAGACATCCTCATCCGTCTGTTGGATTTGTCGGCATGCCTTTTCTGTAAATGCATGACATCTCATAATTAACTGCACGTCACTGTAAGCCCGTTTCTGCACGTTTGTCTCCATCTCCGACAGCTTGGATAGACCCGTGTCCAAGCGATGCACCGGCTTAAGCACTTGCGTCCTGGGCAAACTCTCCCAGGACATTCACAAGCTGCAAACCTACCCTCGCACCGACGTGGGAGCTGGGACGCCCGGCAAGAAGAGAAGTCTGTCCGAGCGATACGAAAGCTACAGCAACTCGTACAACTGAAAGCCACGGCTGTAGCCCACCTGTGTCTGTCTTTGTCTGCCTGAGTTATCGTTTGCTCGTTCATCCAGCTCTATCCACACACAAGATGCATGTTGATCTTATTTGTTCTACAAACTTCAAAATAATAAAAAAAGAGAGATCTTGCTTTTATTATCCACTGGCAGACATTTGATTTAAAACTTGAAATCAGCAAAAAAAAACTTTGCCAATTCTGTAAAATACAATAAAAAACTGTGGTAATTATGCTTCCTCCTATAATAAATAAAACTTTACTTGGAAGTTGGTTTTATTCATTCAGCATATGTAATAATAAAAAGAAAAGAAGGTAAGCATATCGAATGCACACACAGCTATTCTAAAGTGTCCCATCTGGGTTTTTATTTAATCTGTTGTGTGCTCAGAGTTTACTAAAGTCTGAATGTTGTAACTCACTGTCTTTTCCATTTTCCAAGCAATGCAACGCTACAGAAGCGAGGCTGCAACACGGCCACCTGTGTGACCCACCGCTTGGCCGACTTCCTGAGCCGGTCAGGGGGGCTGGGACACAGCAACTACGTCCCCACCAACGTCGGCGCCCAGGCGTTCGGCAGGCGGAAGCGGCACGGCCCGGTGTGAAGACCGGACACGTGGTACGTCAGAATAAAATCCACAAAACAGCATCCTGGTTACACGGCAGGACGACATTGATCCCCTTGTCTCTCTCATTTTACTGTTAAACCAGGATGTAATTCTAAAATCTTTCCACAGTCTTAACCTCCTCTGAACTGTCTTTTAACATTTTTCTGTTCTTCTCTCCTCTCTTTGGCTCTCAAGGACAAAGTGCCTCACAAACCTGGAACATCATCCACCTATAAACACTTTGAAATGAACATCGTTTAGATTAACATCCATCACAAACATGGACTGATGTCCTGCTTTCAGAATACCAGGAAACCACCAGTAGTCATTATTAGTATGTGCTTAACATGTCATCATGGGAAGGTAAAGTAAGAAGGGATTTCTGTCTATATTCTGGCCCGTGGCTGCAGCATAGTGTGTTAAACTGGAAGTCTTATACCTCTCCTGACACGACCTTCAACAGCCGTGGTTGTCTTGTGCCTCGACGTAAACCTCTTCATTATGTGTCACAATAGTAAACGAAGCAAGTTTATGATTCTAAATATTGTAATAATTGTGATTTGAAAGCTGGAATAAATTGTATTTTAGCTACATTAGGCTCTCCTGTCTTGCTGTGTTGTTTGCTTGGGTTGAGAAGTTTTTATTATTTCATTTAAAAAAGGTGCACACAAAGTGGTACTGAAAAAACAAGGCAGAAAATCAAACCATGTGACGTAGATCATATTTAAACTTGATTTAAGAATAATTCTTGAATTCTAATTTATAAACTGCTATTTGATGCGATTTTGTCTGGAGATGTAAAGGGAAGCACGCTACATGAAACTGAGCCATCATGTGGAGCCATACCAGGTCCAGTTTGCCCTCTAGTGGTTGCAATAAGTCACTACTGCTTTCAAGAAAAAAAAAAAAATTATTGTGAGCTTTTATTTTGCTTCTCCTGTAGCAAAACCTGACACCACTGGAAAATTAGAGAAGCGTCCTTTTCTTTTTCTTTTTTTTTAACATGCACGTTCATTTTTGCATTGACTCGAGGTCTGAGTGGGCTTTAGACCAGTGGTTCTCAAACTGGGGGTCCCAAGATAATTTCAGGGGGTCACCAGATCATTGTAAAAATAAAAAATAAAAATAAAGCCTATACTTATAAAATAAATGTGTATTCGTGCTGTCAAAATTAAAAGTGTATACTTATTCCCACTCCTTTTTCGGACTTGTTAATATTCTGATTTGATTATGCAATGTCATTATTTGTTTTTGCTCTTTTAAAAATTATTTTCTTTTGTTTTTATATATTTTTTTCCTCCATCATTTGTTTGAAAATAAATTCAATTCATTCATTCATTTAAAAGAAAATCAACATGTTAGTGTAAAGATAATCTGTGGGATTAACACATTCATTTTTAACGCATTAATGCCTGAACAACAAAGTTATTAATTCAAATTGGGGAGTCACGAAGACAAACTTATGTTATCTTGACGGTTGTGGCTCAAAAAGGTTGAGGACCGCTGCTTGAGACAGCGTAAAGATGGTGACGGTCGTCTACACATCCTCGATAGTATGTTTTCTCAGGGTAAAACCAGGTTTATTTGGTTACAAATACAGTAAACAAAATTGTTTGTCTCGCAAACCCAGCGAATCACAAAATAAACACCACCAATGGTCATCCTCCTTTACTTCATGAATGCAATCCTCACTGCTTTAGTCGCCTGACCTGCTTTATGCTAACAGTGGAGTGAAACTGATGGTTTGGTTTGTTTTAGATCAAAACCTCAGCATACATTAAAATAAATAAATTACATTGGCTTTAGCTTTACTTATGCAAAAGGGTATAGATCACATCAGAGAGCCTCATGAAACTATGAAGATTGAATTAAAAGCGTAGCACATTGATTTAACATCCCGCTCCTTTGGCTCAACAGTTAAACTTACTGCATGCATCCCTGCTTGTGAAAACCACGGTGCCTACATTATTCACAATACTACGCAGTTTGTGCCACAAAAGTAGGTTCCAGGTTGTGAACAGGTTGGGATGTCAGCAGCTCCTGTACCCTCTCTAGTCGCTGGTCTGAAGCTCGTTTATTTAGGAAATGTTTTGTTTTTTATTGAGTCAGGAAGTCTTTCACCCCAACTGACAGAAATGATTTAAGGCTGTTGATCAACCGTCCGACTGTTCCCTCAGCTTTATTATTATTATTATTATTTTTAATGTATTAGGGAGAACTTGCATACTGGACTACAAGGTCACGCCTTATTCATTCTGCTCAGTGGCACGTACACAAAAAAGGTTTTCAAACCATCTTCCCATAGGCTGTCTATAAAATATGGATACAGCTGCTGTAATGCTACCCACTGGTTTATATTCTGAGAGATGGGTGGATGTGACTGAAAACTCTCGGACACGACACTCGGCCCCGTGGCCTGTAAATCACAAGGCAGCCCCGTCCTGTCTGTTCTGCTCTAAATGGGACCATAGCTTACAAAATATTGGGTTCAAAAAGTCTTGAAACAGGTGACTGAGACCATCAACTTATTAGGAAAATGTTTTCTGGGGTAACAGATCAAGGAGGAAGTAAGTGTTCTTATAGATGTGGATTTCCTTTTTGCAGCCAGACTAGTCGCCCCCTGCTGGCTGTTGAAAAGGATGCTGCTTTAACCCAATGCAGGATTTTCATGTTTCCATATGTAGAAGGTGTTTCGGGGTCCAAGAAAGAATATGTGCAAAATAATTGTTGGTCTTCATTATAGACTTTTGTACTATGTGAAACAAATTTTCTGATAAGTTGATGTATTTTTGGTTCCAAATGTATGACACATGTCCCTCTTTTGATATCTAAAATAAAGGAAACAATACCTGTCACCTATATATGTATATACATTCATATATATATATTTCTTGTGTGTTTTATTCCTTTTTTCTTATTTCTCTTATTATTATTGTTTCGGTGTGAAACAGGTGCACATACCAGGTATAACTGTGTTTGTGACCAATAAAAGACCTTGAATCCTTGCATGCAGAAGTTGTGCAGTTTGGCCATTTCCCCCAATGATTTATTTTTTTCTGGCAAAAACCGTTGGACTTTCTGGACTTTCCCTTTAACGGGTGCCGCAAACAGGCAGGAGAGATTGGCGGGAATTCAGCTCGTCGCTGCGCCAATGAACGTAAAGCAAACCCTCCTCACCTGATGGTATATGTCCTAAAACTAGCTAGCTGAATTGGCAATTTGTGGCTTAAAAGTGTTTGTCAATGTAAAGAAATATCGCGCAGCTCAGTCAAAGAAAAGTCATTGAAAATGTCTGTGGTACTCAAACAAAGAGAAGACGTCAGTAGCTGCTGCTAAACGGACACGTTAGCTTGCTAGCTAGCTAGCTAACCGCTAACGGCGCTAACCGGGAATTTGTTGAAACGGGCGCCGTTAACTTCGGCGTACGCAGAAAAAAGAGGCTTTCCGTGACCTCCGGAGATGTAACCTAAGAATCCAAAGTGTTCTTAGGTGCTCGACAATGAACTCGGACTAGTGGAGGAGTGCCGCACTTTTTCTGCTAACTGCTCTGCGCTAATGGCTAATGAAGCTAACGCCGGGAATGGATAATGGCTAATGAAGCTAACGCCGGGAATGGATAATGGCTAATGAAGCTAACGCCGGGAATGGATAATGGCTAATGAAGCTAACGCCGGGAATGGATAATGGCTAATGAAGCTAACGCCGGGAATGGATAATGGCTAATGAAGCTAACGCCGGGAATGGATAATGGCTAATGAAGCTAACGCCGGGAATGGATAATGGCTAATGAAGCTAACGCCGGGAATGGATAATGGATAATGAAGCTAACGCCGGGAATGGCTAATGGCTAATGAAGCTAACACCGGGGAGGATGTGGGATAAAAACACCTGCAAGCAAGAATTCACCTGAGACATGTGAGGAGTTTCTGCCAACAGTGAGTACATATTTTATTATGTGACTGTCAACACGAACACGGTGAAAATTGGCATTGCTTTTGTCATTATTTAGTGTGTGTGTGTCATTTGTGACACTCTGGCTTGATGGATTATCAGTGCTGTAAATGGTAAACATGAGGCTGTTGAGGATTGATCACTCAAATACAGTGTCAAGGTTTCTGATCGCTGATCAAAGTTTTCACTTTAAAAGCAGTCGGGATGTTTTACTGCCTGTGTGTTAAGTTCTTTGTGTCCCAAGCTGCTGGGGAAACAAACCTTCAAAATGTGCAAAAATTGCATTAATTTAAAAGCATGCTTCCCTCAATTCATCATAAAATTAAAACAATCAACAGATATTTGCAGTATTTGATTAGATTGTACTTTATTCATCACCACAAATGGTATTTCAAAAGTGATTACACTCTTAAACATGCACTTAAGTGACATGTTGGTTAAAGTATGGACATTTTAAGTTGTCACAGCATTACTTTGATTCATCCTTTTATTTAAATCTTTCAGATTCGTTAAAGAAGGCATGCCCTCCTACTCAGTGTGGTTAACAGTGCGATCAAAGGGAATAAATGGGGCAAACAACAGAAAACAGTTTAATTTAAAAGCAGTGTAGTCTGCATTCTGGGTTATAAATTGACCTGCAGGTGTGTTTTAATAGTTTGCTGTAAAATGTTCCAGATGTGTGCAGGTGTGTGGGACTTTAGGCATTAGAC